TTCTTTCTTTCTTCTTCTTCTCTCTCCTCCTCCTCTCTCTCTCTCTCTCTCTCTCTCTTCTTTTCATATATTGGAAATAATAATTTCTTTTTTCTTTCACTATCATTCATTTTAAACGTTTTAATGAAAGAAATATTATTCAATGAATTCAATTTCAATAATAATTTTCATTTCATTTTCTCATTTTCCATTTTTTTTCATTTTTTCTTTTTCTCTCCCTTTTTTTCCCTCTTTTCCATAATTGGTATTTCATTTTCACTCTTTTTCTTCTTCTTTTCTATTATCGATGATAATTTTTCTCTCTTTCTTTTTTTGCTTTTTTCTTTTGCTCTCAATTAATTTCATCAAATTTGATTTTATTTTTTGCTTCTAAAAATTTACGATTCTGTATGATAAATTCAAAATGAAAATTTAAATTGAATTGAAATAAATGGAAAATAAGGAAAATTTAGTAAAGCATTAAAAATTTTTCCTTTTTTCTTTTCCCATTTCATATAACTTTCTCTTCATTTTATTCATTCTTTCGCATAATAATTGATAAATGGATAAAATGATGAAATTGTATTGGTCATTTTAAAGGGTCATTTGAAAAGGAGGAAAAAAGTAAAAGTAAAATTATTGGGGAAGCTTTCTTTTTTCGTGTTTTGTCTAATAAATTACTGAAATTATTGGATAAAACGGTACGAATTTGAATGGTACTCAAAAAAAAAAGAAAAAAGGAAAAAAAATAGAAAGATTGGAAACGAAAAATAGCCAATAAGGAAATTAATTTTATAATTAATAAAATTTTTTAGTAATTCTCGTTAAAAACTATTACATTTTAATTATTCACAAATGAAATTTTCCATTTATCTTTTTTGCTTTTTTGTTTTTATTTCTTTGCTTAAATTATGAATTTTTTTAAAATTAAATTTTTAAGGACAAGAATAGAGAACCTGAACATGCATAGAGAGAATAGTTTAAGACAAGGATAGAGAAATTTGGAGAAAAAAAAAGAGAATGACGAAATAATTGAAAGAAGGTAAGAAAAGAAGAGAAGTGGTAAGACAAATAAAGAAATTTTAATGCTATGTTTTTGAATAATTTTGAAGTGAAAAAAAAAAGGAAGAAACAGTGGGAACAGGAAAAAAGTAAATGATGAAATGTAAAATGAGAAGTGATAAAAAAAGAGGGAGAGAAACGAAGTATAGAAAAAAGAAAAAAATACCGGAAAAAAAATGGGAAGAAAGAAAGGAAAAAAATAACAAAAAAAAGAATGGAAAAAAAAGAGAAAAAAATGGAAAGATTTTTGCGCTCTCTTCTTCTTTCAAATTAAATTTTGCTTTAAAAAAAGATTTCTGTAATTAAAAACTTGAAAATGAATATATGAAATGGAAATTGAAAAAAAGCAAAATATTTACCTTTTCCATTTTTCCAATACTTAATAAAAAATGCATTTTCTTATTTTTTCACTTTATTTAATATAAATTAATTTACTAATTGCTTGTTGTTTAAACCAAATTACTCATCGTTTACTTACTTAATCTCAATTAATCATTTACTTAATCTAAACTGTTTACTACTCATTTATGTAATTTAAATTGATCATGTACTTAATCTACTTAATCCAAATTGATTTACCAATCATCCGTTTGATTTCAATGGATTTGCTAATCATTTACCTAATTCGAATTGATTCACTAATTATTACTAATCATTTGCTTAATCCAAATTGGTTACTAATCCTTTTTTGCTCTTTGTCTTTTCATATATTGTTAATGAACAATAAAAAATGAAAGCAATTAGTAAAATTAATTTTACTTTTTAACTATGACATATTTCAATACTTTAACT